GAGGGCCCTCACCACAGGGAAGTTTCAGTACCCTGTCTCCCTACAAAGACTGAAAAGTACTGTCTCAGAGGAGAGGTGTCTCACTTCATGCACCTCCTCTCCTCAAGCTTAATGTTTTCTTTTGTTTCTGGAATGATGCAATATCAGGGGAAATAACTTAAGCAGTCTGTTTGCAGCAAGTGTGTGCAGTGGGTGTGTGCAGTGGAACTCTCTCTCTCTCTCTCTCTCTCTCTCTGTGTGTGTGTGTGTGTATAGTCAGCACCTCCTCTTGCAGGAAGCTGAGAAAGTTTTCCCCCTTCTTGTAGCTCTGTATCCCAAGTAGCTCATCTTATTTTCCCCCTGGGATGGCCCTGCAGCTATGTAGACAAGGCTCTCCAAAAGGATGGACCTTACTCCAGGGATGTTTCAGTCCCCAGTTTCCCCACAAGCATTCAAAAGTGCTGTCCCTGAGTAGGAACATGTCACCTGAGGGGCCTTTTCTTCTGAAGCTTAATGTCTTCCTTTGTCTCTGGAGTGGCATGAGATCAGGGACTAAGGATGATTCTTTAAAGAAATTATTTTGAGATTTCTGACAACAGGATAATAAGCTCTCTCTCACTCCACTTTCACTATAACTGAGTCAGAACTGACTCATAACTGACCCTTTAACAAATTTTTTGGAAGAAACTGCCTATCTTTATTACATGGAACAACTAGTATATTCATAATGCCTGTGTTTTGGTTAGGAGTTTAACTCCTTATCCACTAAGCCCCTGGAGCTCTAGGTTGATAAGATTCTTCTCTTTGCCCTTTTATAAGATGTATGGAGAATACATTCCCCCACCCCCCCCACCCTTATTTGACCACATATTTGAGAAGGTTGTAAGCAATTATAAAATTGAACCATGCAAGTGCTGAGAGAAAGGGCACTGCTTAGTGCAACCAGCAGCTGAACCATTTTTCAGCAGAAGTGATAGGGAATACTTGTTACCACTCAAATCAAATATCTTCCTCCATAAGACATAAACTCTATTTGCTTAAGGAGCTCTGGTGGTCTAGTGGTAAGTAGTGGTATGTTTCACTGCCAACCCAAAGGCAGAAGGTTCAAATCTACCCACTGCTCCACCAGAGAAAAATGAGCAGTCTCCTCCTGTGTGACTTCCTGCCTCTGAAAGCCCACTGGAGAGTTAGCTATGAGTCAGTTTCATTTTAACACACAGCACATAACAACAGTCACCATCACTTGGCACACTACAACAGTAACAACAGGATGCATCCTATTTAGAAACTCGGTTTCTTTTCCCTCTTGCTACCAGATAGGGCTGTGCGCTAAATTCTGGCCAATGTTAAATAATAAAAATGAGTACGGACCTCTCAGAACAGATGCTTAAAGGGGACTGATTCTGTGAGGGATGTGCTTGTTATGTGACCCTTCAAGCTTTCCATCTGCCTCTGAACGTGATCTTATGTGCTGCTTAGTGGTCTAGAAGCCATGTAGAATCATGTTGTGATTTAAGGAGGCCTGGTGACATAACTCATTGTGTGCTACACTGCTAATCAAAAGGCTATGCTATATGATGGCATAATAAGCAACATTCAGGAGCAACAATTTAGAAAAATACTATATAACATCAGAGAGTCTGGACAGCATTATACTGAGTGAACTAATTCAGTTTCATAAGGACAAATTCTGCATAAAACCATTACTATAGAAACAGAAGAATAACTAGTAAGATGTATATAAAAGTCCAAAGGGGGAAGGGGAGGCAGCAGTGGTGCTAAGAGTAGGAAGCGGGGGTGGGGGAGGGGGTTGGTATCAACACAATGGCAGCAAGTTTGAGTTTTTAAATTTAGAAGATAGGATCAACGTGTTGGGCTGCAAACAGAAAGTTTGGCAGATTTAATCCATGAGGAGGCCTGGTGGGGTAGGTCTGTAGTGTGTTGCATTGCTTTCTGAAAAGTCTCTGCACCTGTTGTGGTTCAAAACCACCAACAGCTTTGTGGAGAAAGATGACCAGTCTTCTATTAAGATTTACAGCTTTAGACACTCAGTGGAGGGTCACTGTGAGTAGAATGCACTCAATAGAAGAAAGATCAGCAGAGAGAGTTGCTGAGTGACTTTATGAGAGTGGATTTGATTTTGAGGATAGAAGGTGTGTGCGGAGATAGGGCACCAATGAAATACAAAGAGGCTGGATCTTTATCAGGGCAAAGGCTCCATCCCAGCCCTGGGTTGCTTCCTGGGCTGCCTCTTTTCCCTCCTTTTGTCTTGTCTTTGTTCTTTATGTTGTTGTTGTGTGCCATAGAGTTGGAACTGACCCATAGCTGAACTTAAAGCAGATTTTCAGAGGCAGTTAATTGCACAAGGGGCCATTACCCATCCTTATCCCACAGAGCAGTTAATGGATTCAAACTACATGCCTTTGGAATTGCAGTGCAAATTTTTACCACTAGGCCATAGAAATAAGTGTTGATATTGATTAAGCTATGTGTTTGACTGTGTGAATCACAACAAACTGTGGCTAACTCTGAGAAGAATGGGAATCCCAGAGCACTTAATTGTGCTGATAAGAAACCTATACTTGGGCAAGGAGGTAGTTGTCAGAGCAAGAAAATACTGCATGGTTCAAATTTGGGATGGGTGTATGCCAGGGATGTGTTCTATCTCCATGCTTTTTCAATCTATATGCAGAACAGATTATCCAGGAGAGTGGGCTCTATGAGGAGAAATGTGGCATCAGGATTGGAGAAAAGACCCATCAACAATCTGTGTTATGCAGATGACACAACCCTGCTTGCTGAAACTGAGGAGGACCTGAAGCACTTGCTGATGAAGGTCAAGGATTGCAGACTTCAGTATTAATTGAGGCTCAATATCAAGAAAACAAAGTTTCTCACCACTGGGCTGAATGGCAGCAGCATGATGGATGGTGAAGAGATTGAGACTGTTAGCTGCTTTAGTTTGCTTGGCTCCAGAGTCAAGACTCTTGACACAAGCAGCCAGAAAATGAAAAGACGTATTGTGATGGAAAATTCTGCTGTTATTTTGAAGAGCAATGATGTCCGTCTGGAGACTAAGGTGCGTCTGATACAGGCCATGGTCTTTGCAATTACTTACTATGCATCAGAGATCTGGACAATAACTAGGGATGATAGAAAGAGAATTGATGCCTTTGAGCTGTGGTGTTGGAGAAGAGTGTTGAATATACTATAGACTACTAAGAAAATTAACAGGTTTGTCCAAGAGAGGGTTAAACCAGGCTGCTCCTTGGAGGCAAGGATTCTGAAGCTTCGTCTGATATACTTTGGACATGTTGAAAGGAGAGACCAATCCTTGGAGAGGGACATCATGCATGGGAGGGTGGAGGGACAGCACAGGAGAGGAAGACCCTCTATGAGGTGGTTTGATTCAGTGATGGAGGTAATCGAGGTAGCTGTTTTGGAAACAGTGAGATTGGCACAAGATCGTGCAGGGTTTAGGGCTGTGGTACATAGGGTTTTTATGAGTCTCATATGACTTGATGGCACACAACAACAACACGAACACCAACACCCTTAACTGAGACAACACAAAACTTAAAAACTCATTTCCATTGAGTCAGAACTAACTTGTAACTGACACTCTAGTGGGTTTTTGAAATTGTAAATCACGTGGAAGGAGATTGTACATCTTTCTCCCATAGAGACACTGGTGTATTTTAATTTCCAGATGTGTCATATTTGGTTTAGCAGTACTACTCTACAAGCTGTACCACCAGAGCTCCGTCAGTGGAGACAACAAATGTCCAGAATTGGTCCAGAATAATAATTATTACTTGAGGAGAAAAATAGGACCTGTGGAGGTTTCCTTTCATACTCTACTGAGTTATCCCACCATGTTCAATCTGTATGCTGAGCAAGTCTCTCAAGAAGATGGATTTTATGAAGAAGAATGGCATCAGAATTGGGGGAAAACTCATTAACAACCTGCTACATGTGAATGAAAAACTCTTGTTTGCCGAAAGCAAGGAAGAATTGAAATGCTTGGAAGACAACTGCTGCCTTCAATATAGATTACATCTCAACATCATGAAAACAAAATGTCTCATCACTGGCCCAATAAACACCATCATGATAGATGGAGAACATGCTGAAATTGCCAGCAGTTTGTCTTGAATCTATAGTCAAAACCTGTGGTACCAGCTGTCAAGTGATAAAAGGTGTGTTGCATTGAGAAAATCTGCCATCAAGGACTTCTCCAAGGTGCTCAGGAGCAACAATGTCACTTTAAAGACTAAGGTGCATCTTTTCAATTTCTTGCTGTGCTTCTGAAAGTTGGATCAATGCCTTTGAATTGTGGTGTTGGTGAAGAGTACTGAATATTTCATGAACTGTCAAAGAGTAAATAAATATATCTTGGAGAAAGTGCAACCAGGAGGTTGTGAAATTTCATCATACATGCTTTGGGCATGTTGTCCAGAGGGGCCAGTCCTTACAAGAAGATGGCATGCTAGGAAAGGTGGAGGGTCAGAAAAAGAAAGGAAGACACTCAACACAATGTAACAATGTAACAATGGACTTGAATATGTCAGAGATGGTGAGGATGGGGCGGAATAGGGCAGAATCCGTTGTTCTGATCACAGGATTGCTATGAGCCATAGATGATTTAGCAGCACCTAATAACAACATAGTGGTGACTTTGACTTTCATGTAATACCTCTTTATCTTATTTCTTTATCTTTATTTTTTATAAATAATTTATCCTAAAATATTCTGGCTGCTATAAATACTATATACATATAGCTATAAATACTATATACATATATATCTATATCTACCAGTATTTAGTGTCACTTGAAGTGTATATTTATGATTTCCTGTGGTGACAGTATTTCCTAGACTCTTGAGCTCTGATTCTAGAAAGAAATTAGAGAGGGAAGTAGGTTGGGTGTTCAACAATGTAGACAGCTGGTGAGGCTCTGTCAGTGTACCAGGCCTGAGACGTCAAGGCATGTTGCTCATGTGTGTATCTCTCTTCCCAGGAGCCGGGGTCAGAGAGGATGTGTTCCTCATTTGGAAGGAGATGGAAGAAGCAGACAGCACGCTGGCCCAGCTCCGGAGGCTGGTGTCCTATGAAGATGAAGTTGTATGCGGTTGGTGTTGTTTATAGTTATTACTGTGAAAGAGTCACATACAGTATCAGTTGGGGGTAGAAGGTTTTTCCATGTTCATTACCAAGGAGATCTCTTTACTTCCACAAAGGAGCTGCTGTGGAGAGCTTCCAGAGTCAGGTGATTTGTAAGAGAGAGAAAGTGGGTGAGTGTGTGTGTGTGTGTGAAAAAAATCAGAACTCATTTAGACTTGGCTCTTGTGTACAGAGTAAGTAGAATCTAAAGTACCTGTGGCACACAGACGTCTGACATCTTTACCTTTTATTTAAGAACATCACTTTTCTTTGACCATGACCTCACTGTAAGAGGGAAGTGGGGAGCATAGGCAAGGAAGGAATTCGGAATGTTTGTGGTTTTCTTTTAAGGGATATGGTAAGTATGAGTTCATATTACTAATATTAAAAAAAGAAATCATTAAAATCCAGTTGCTATTCCTAGTCTTAGCTTAGAGATCTTTCATGAGAGCTATATTTAGTGAGCACTTATGTGCAAGACCTAGGCCCAATTAATCCTCACATTTGTGAGGCAGATTCTATTACTCCTCTTTGATAGGTGAGAAAATAAGGAACTGAAGGTTTAAATAAGTTGTCTTTGCCAGACAATTAGAAAATGTGAAAACTGATTTTGAACCCAAAATGTATACCAGAAACTTTTCTGCTCTGTTGATCTCAACTTTTTCATCTTTTGATTACTCTACACTCATTGTTAACCTACACTCATTGTTTCAATTTTGATTCTTGGCAACCCTCTGTTGCATTTCTGAAACTGCCATATTCCTCTCCAGGAGCAGCTACTGTATTTTAACTACCAAACTTTTCATTAGTGTATCAGCACATGACACAATATTCTACCAGAGCTCCTCCTTATTTACTAATTATCAACTATCTTATCCTAAAAAACAAAAGTGATTTCCTGGTATTTTATGAGCTTCCACCCTTTTTTGCTCTTTTTTTAAGGTGTGTGTGTTTTTCTTTTTAACTAAAGCATTTGTCCTAACAAACATGTAAGTTTTGGAATGAATAGGAAGTCATTGTAAATCTCATCTCCATCACTTCAATTATTTTGAGTTAATATTTTTAAACTTTTGTTTATTCTTCTATAAAATAGAAAATAGTAGAATGATACTAAATAGTAGAATGATACTAAAATTACAGATTATAAGGATTACATTTAAAAAAATGCTATATATATAGGGAGATCTGTCTGAAGCGTTTACAGGGAGTTATACACTACAACCAGTGCCTGGTTAGGAAAAAGCTAGCCAGTCTCCCATGCAATTTACAGCTGTGAAAAACTTGCTGGAGGGTCAGCTATAAGTTGATTTCAACTTGATAGCAATAAGAAAATGACATAGTTATATATTACATGGTATACTAAGTATATGTGTGAATTCTTGGATTGTATTTGGTGCCACCGGGTTGAATACAACTCATAGCAACCCTATGAACAACAGCTCTGAACCTTGCCCTATCCTACACAATCCTCATGATCTCTGATAGGCCCATTTTATGGTCACTTTGTTGGCTATGGCCATCTTGTTGAGGGTCTTCTTGTTGACTGTCCACCTTTCCCAGCATGATGTCTTTTTCCAAGGACTTGCCCCTCCTGACAGCATGTCCAAATTAAGTCAGATGAAACTTCACCATACTTGACTCTACTTGACTCTAAGAAATAGTCTGTTTCTCTTCCTCCCGAGAGAAATTTGTTTGTTCTTTTTGCAGTCTATAAGATGTTCAGTACGCTTCTCCCACAACACAATTCAAAGGCATCAATTCTACTCTTGTTACTCATTTCCAACTATCAGATGCATAGACAGACGCACCTTAGTTTTTCAGAGGACATCATTGCTCTTTGGCACTTTGGAAAGATCCTTGAAAACAGATTTTGCCTAATGCAGCACATATTTTTATTTATAAATTTTTTTTAAAAAATTGGTTTATTTTAAAAGTTCTTATATATTATTTTTCACACTGCATCTTTCCCATTTCCTTCACCATCACCCCCTCTACCCATCAAATTATGCAAGCCTATGATTGACCACCCTGCACCCCCCAACCATCCTCACAACCCTCTGTTCCCCTCTCCGGGGATCCTCATACTCATTCTACAAGAATAGTTTTATACAGTATTTGTCCTTAAGAGACTCAGTTCCCTCAGAATAATGCTCTCTAGTCCCTCCCAAGTTAGTGATTTACAAAATCATTGCTCTTGTATGGTGCATAGTATTCCATTGTGTGAATGTACCATAGTTTCTCAATCCCTTCTATTTGGTTGGACATTTGGGCTGTTCTTATGATGGTGAATAATGTGCCTATGAACATTGGTGTACAAGTCTCTATTTGTGCCTCAGTTCTCATTCTCTCTGGATATATTCCAAGCAGTGGAAATTCTTATGGAATTTCTGTGTTCAGCTTTCTGAGGAAATGCCAAACTGCCTTCCACAATGGTTGTACCATTTTACAATCCTACCAAAAATGTGTAAGAGTTCCTATCTTGCTATATCCTCTCCAGCATTTATTACTTGCTGCCACTGCTATTGGGTGAGATGGTATTTCGTTGTGTTTTGATTTGCATTTCTCTTATTGTCAGTGATTTTGAGCATTTTCTCGCGAGTCTGTTGGCTATCTGAATGTCCTCTGTGAAAAGTATTTTCATGTCTCTTGCCCACTTTGTAATTTTATTATCAGTCTTTTTCTTCTGGAGGCCCAAGAGGATACTGTAAACTTTTCTTATGTTACCCATGTCTGAGATAGTACTGCCAAATGTTTGTTCCCAGTCAGTTGGTTTTCTTTTCATTGTGCTGGGAAAAGTTTTCCATAAGCAAAGAAATTTAGTCTTTAGGAAGTCCCACTCATAATTTTATCCTCTTCATATTATGCATTTCTGGCTGTATTTGTAAATCTCTTTATACTGTAGACTAGGCCTTCTAAGCTTGATCCCAGTTTGTCTCTTATGAACATTATGGTTTTGGGCTTTACACCCAGGTCTCTGATCCATCTTGAGTTGATGTTTGTGTGTGGTGTGAGATGTGTTGTCATTTTCACAATATGAGTCTTCCTATCCATGAACAGGGTACATTTTTACATTACTTTAGGTCTTTACTTGTGTTTTGCAAAAATATTCTTTAGTTTTCTTTGTATAGGTCTTTTGTGTTTCTAGTTAGGTTCACTCCCCAGTATCTGAATTTGTGCTTGGCTGTTGTAAATTGTGTTTCCTTCTTGGTTTCTTCCTCTGAGTTCTATTTGCTACTGTAGAGGAATCTCACTGATTTATGGATATTGATCTTGTATCCTGTCTCTCTACTAAATTGGTCTTTTAGCTCTAAGAGCTGTTTTGTTGTTGTTGTTGAGTCCTTGGGGTTTCCTGTGTACACTATCAAATCATCTGCATATAGCAGTAGTTTAACCATCTCTTTGCCAATCAGGATGCCTTATAAAAGGCATCCTTCTTTTCTAATATTGCCCTAGCAAGTACTTCCAATACAATGTTGAATAGAAGTGGTGACAGTGGGCATTCTTGTCTGGTCCCTGTTTGCAAAGAAAATGCTTTTACTTTTCACTATTGAGGAAATTCCTTTATTCCAATTTTGCTGAGTGTCTCAATCAGGAGCAGGAGTTGGATTTTGTCTAATGCCTTTTTGGCATCAATGACTAGGATCATATGGTTCTTGTTATTTGCTTTGTTAATGTAGTTAATTATCTTGATTGTTTTTCTGATGTTGAATCATCCTTGCATACCTGTTATGAATCCTACTTGGTCATGGTGAATTATTTTTTTGATATGCTTTTGGATTCTATTGGTTAGGACTTTAATTTTTAAGGATTTTGTGTATATGTTCATGAGAGACATTTGTCTGTAGTTTTCTCTTTTGGTAATATTTTTGCCTCATTTTGGTATTAGGGTCTTGCTTGCTTCCTAGAATGTCTCTGGGAGTGTTCTTTCTTCTTTTATTTTTTGAAATAACTTATGTAGAATTGGGAATATTTGGTAGAATTCAACTGTGAAGCCATCTGGCCTAGGATTTTTTTTTGTGGGGGAGTCTTTTTATGACCTACTCATTTCTTCTTTTGTGATGAGTCTGTTTAAGTGTTCTATATCTGACTGTGTCAAACTGGGTAGGGCATGAGTTTTAAGAAATTTCCTCTAAGTTTTCAAATTTATTAGAGTATAGCTTTTCATAGTATCCCAATATTATGATTTAATTTCATATGGTTATGTTATGATGCCACCTCTATAATTTCTTAATTGAGTTATCTCTGTCTTCTCTTTTTTTCCCTTTTATTAAGTTTGCCAGTGGTTTGTTAATTTTATTGATCCTTTAAAAAAACAAGCTCCTGATATTATTGATGATTTCAATTGTTTTTCAGTTCTCTATCTTGTTTATTTTAGCTTTTGTCTTTCTTTAGAATTTCCTTTCTTTTTTATTTTTTAAAATTTTTTATTAATAATTTTAATGAAAATTTAGACACTTTGGATTTCCATTCATTCATGTTGCACTTTTCTCCCTGCCCAACCTTCCCCTCAGTTCACTCTTCTCTTTGAAAAGTAAAAAAAATATATTTCATTGTTATACAATCTCTACCCCGCAAGTCCGCTCCTCTCTGCAGCTTTTGTTCTGGACTCATGTCACAACAATAATACCTAATCACATATCCCGTTTAAACAGTTCTCTCCCTCATCTGTTTCAATGCCGTATACATAATTTATCCCATCTTTCTCAGTCTCTCCCCAACCCCAATGTCAGTCCCATTTTACAACAGTGGTGCTATGCAGTATTTGTCCTTTTGTGACTGAGATATTTCACTCAGCATAATGTCCTCCAGGGTCATCCACTTTGAATAATATTTCATGAGTTCCTTGTTTTCAAATGCTGCATAGTATTCCATTGTGTGAATATACCAGAGCTTCTCTATCCATTCATTTATTGATAGGCACTTGGGTTGTTTCCAGCTCTTTGCTATTGCGTACAAGGCTGCAATAAA